TAAGGATCCGTTCTCCCTCAGCGTTTCTTGCTCCTATTTCTCTTGCTCTGTGCACCCTTTCTAGACCCCTTCTATCGCCGCCCACATGGCCATTCAGATCACCGGCTATTTCGAGCTAGTCAGATTACGGAACCGATCTTATGGCATCGTCCAGACGATAAAACCCATCCTTTTCCAGCCGAGCAACCGGGTTGTGGAGCGTACATAGTTAGTACTGTCCAGTACTCTTCCTTCGTGTCTATTCTCACTCCCGTCATTCCGTTGGGTGTCTATCCATTGTGGGACAGTTTAATCCCATCCCCTATCCCGAAGGCCTTCGCTCCTTTCCAGCGCGTTTCCTGAAGGCATAAGATTCCGCTATTCTTGCGTTTCATGAGGTCGGCAACCTCTGGAGACTTCCCGGTAGGCGACCCCACGTTTGCTGTCCCATTTCGAACTAGCTTCTTTAGCCGAGAAGTTACCATTTTTGCAATTTTTGCAAGGCAAGGTTTGTGCCTCGGCAGGAATCGAACTCGTGGCTCGGCCTGCGAACGAGTTCACACTCTTAACCACTCAGCTATTCCTGCCCGTATTGCTGTGTTGCTATCTTTTGCTTTCTGGTAACTCGCTATCTATTTACTATCCACGTGCTGTGGCATGATCTTGCTTTTCATGTCCGCCGTCGCTAATTTGTAGATGTGCCCCAGATGCCGCATTGCTCACAGTTTTCTCGAAAATGCTTGAACTCGTCTGCCATGACAGGATTCTTACTTTTTCCACTTGACATAGACGTACATTGTCCTATCTGTGGCGGTTTTCGAAGCGTACCGCGTTTTTTTCATACATCTTTTCTTCGTTTCGTTTTAAACCAGTCGGATCGGCCGCTTCACCTGCCGATCCTCCTTCTGAGTGTGAATTATGTCTTCCCCCACACATTATCAAAAAATTGAGGGCCAGTCGAATCGCCCTTCTTCGCCGGGCCATCCTCCTTCTGTTGAGAACGCTTTGGGGTGTTTGAAAGTTGAACCCGTAGAGCAATATATTCCTGTATTATGACTGCTTCCAACTATTCAGCATAGGTACGCTAGCCTTGTGGCTTATCGGAACGAGTAGGTAGAAGCAGTATCCTTTTCCCATTCGTAGGAAAGTAGCACTTTGATTGAAGCCCGGTCGTCTGCCACAAGTGCTTCCGTCCGCCAACCCATTTCGTCTCTCCCACTTCTCCCGCTCTCCAGGCATATTTGGAACTCAATTAGGAAACTTTGATTTGAGCCCCGTTAGCAGCAGCTGTGTGCATCCTCTCGTCCACTTCATTCGCTCGTGCTGTTCATTTGCAGTATCCCCGCCCAATATGGGCATGTCTCCTTCATTGCATGCGCCTACCCATTTCCTGTCGCTGCCCACCTTTTCCGCTCTCCGGGCTCTTTTGGAATAGAATTGCGAATTTTTAAACTTCCGTAGGAAGCACCGCCTACCTGTGGCACGCCCCCCCCCCATTATGGACATGTCATCCCATTTCGTCCGCCAACTTACTGCCTACCGTTTCCCACTCTTTCGGCTCTCCGGGCTCCTCTTGACAACAATTAATAATTTTCGAATGTTCCGACTTCTTGGTCCATGCCTAACCAAGCCGACCCTTGACCCTTCGCTCTCAAACTGGCTTACTGGTGATGCCAAATTTCTGGACACACGCACACACACACACACACTCACACGCACCACTTTCTCCACACATACACCAGCCGCACCCACACTCACACACACTCACATACACATTCACACACACAAACACACACACACTTCCACACACACATACTCCCAATCACACACGAATTCAAACTCGCCACTCAAAACACACACACACACACACACACACACACACCACACACGCCATCGCACACAAACACATACACATAGACACACTTACAGATAGCTCAAACACACTTTTTTCCAAAATTTAGGTGTACGTGTTGTGTTGTGATGTGACGGTAGATTTCACTTCGAACTTCAAATTCACCACTCTTCAAACCAAATTAACCACCCAAATTCACCACTATTCAAACCAAATTCACCATTCATCAAATTAAATTCACCTCACTTTTTAGACCGGGCAATTCATCGACCAGATCACGCCAGATACCGCCGTGAGCCCCGCCCCGATCGCTACGCCTGTTTGTCAGCGCGGACATAGATTTCCAAAATTTGTTTCATAACTCTACTTCTGCGACGTTTTCTGCACTTTTGCTTCTACGCCTATACACACTGAAAGGACTACATAGCACACGGGTAATTCCGCCCCTTTCTGAAGATGCGTTGTAAATTACAAATTTTCATGACTTTTCACCTCCTTAATTTCACACCCTTTTCACACAACACCATTAGGCTCCGCCCCTCTGACCACGCCCACTAGTGCATGTATTTGTAGAATTTCGACATTTCTTCAAAACTTTCACATTTTGGACTGCTACAGGGAGCCCCGCCCTTTGTGGGAAGCTCCGTCCCCTTCGTAGGAGCCCCACCCACATTTGGAAAATGCTCCGAATCAGCAAGTTGGAGCCTCACCTTGTAGGTAGGAGAGTCACTCGTCACTGGGAACGAAAAAAAAATACAAGATGGGCAACTTTCGTTCCTTGCCTGTTTTTTTCCGTTCCGAGTAACGAGTGATCTTCTTACCTACAAGGTGAGCCTCTAACTTGCTGATTCGGAGGATTTTCTAAAGTGGGCATGGCTTCTACGAGGCGGGCGGAGCTTCCCATGATGGGCGAGGTTTGCTGTAGCACTCCGAAAATGTGAATGTTTCGAAGAAATATCAAAATTCCGCAAAAACATGCAAAATTGGGCGTGGTCAGAGGAGCTTAATGTGGAGTGCAGGAATGCACGTCTATGAGGACCTTTGTTGTGTGAAGAGTGGATGTGAAATTAAGGAGGTTGCAAAAAGTTATGAAAATTCGAAATTTGCAGTGCAGTTTTAAAAGTGTGCGGAGTTGCCCATGTGCCGGTGTACAGTTCTTTTCAGTTAGTGTGTATGGGCGTAGCAACAAAAGTGCAGAAAAAGACGCAGAAGTAGTTGTTATGAAAGAAAATTCGAAAGTCTATGTCCACGCTGACGGCGCGGCCGTCGGGGCGGGGCTCGCAGTGGTGTCTGGCATGTCTGGTTGATGTCTAAAAATTGAGATGAATTTGGTTGGAAAAGAACTTGGTTTGAAAATTGGTGAATTTGGTTTAAAAGGTGGTGAATTTGAAGTGGAAATGGTATATATGGTAGCATCGTCCATCCACATTTTTTATGCATCCTTCCTTCGCTTTATTTTACATCGATCGACTGTCCTCTGGGGTTTCTGTAAATGGGTATATCATGACTTTGAGGAAGTTTTCAAAGCTTAAAAGTCCTCAGAGTCCGAGGTACTTTTCGACCTATCCCATATTATGAGTTCCTTTAGGGCCACTCAGCATAGTCGTGGAAGCCAACACCTACGTTGTCTTAAAGGCAGTTGGCACGATGGTTTCCTATTTAGCCTAAAATGCTAGGTGGGCGCTGTATAGTGGGAAAATGGCGAAAGGACGGAGGAAACAGTCAAAACTCCTGCAAAGAAAAGCCTTCGCTCTCATTGAGTTGAAAATCGATTTCGGACGAGTTTCCCGTAGGCATCTTGCCAATCACCGCTATCGATGATACGGCTGCATATGTGTACTACATATCCATGCAACATCATCGTATTCATAGCAATCCCTTCGCTTCATAATTTGCTTAGCAAATGAATGAATGCGAGCGTCAGGAACGGTCGTCCATTTGTGGGCTGGCGGGCGTGGCGGGCGTTTGGGTCGTAATGTTGTGGCTTGATAGGGCCCTTATAAGGGCACATTCCTCGGAAACCGCTATGCAGCGCCTGCCCAGGGTCGCGGAATTCTATCCTGCGAGGAGTACTGATCGTAGTCGTCTGGGGGGATATATCGTGCCAACTGCCTTTAAGGAAGAATATCGCTTGCAGGAGGGCCTTTGCATCAGAGCTCCCAAGCTGGACTTATTTAATTAGGAAGTAGGCGATGTATAAGTCTGCCACCAGCACGAAATGATGGCCGTTTACTCGAGCTTTTTGAGGTGCAGCCGAACGTAGCCGCCAGTAAGTTGGCAACCTCTCTGCGCTCCCCCTAACTGATAACTGCCATGCCCTCGGTTACCGGGAAGATTTTTTGTGAAGGGTACCTCATGAGCTGCACCAGTCTGACAAACCGCATCGGATAGCCGTGACAGGGTTTTCTTTTCCTTGTAGACAATGGAAGAATTTCTGTAAGATGTTGTGGTTGGTACCCAGTGCTAGAGTCCTTGCGTGCATCATGCACATATCCCTCGCAGGATTTCTCAAACAGGGAAGTAGATTGCTTAACCAAAATCATATGTGCATGGGTCAAAGATTTCAATGTGTTATTGGTGGGACTTCAAAGCAGTATCACAGGATACCAGCGCAGCATAAGAACCACAGTCCACTCTAATCAACTTCAAAACATGGATGACGTCACGCTTGAATTCATTCAGAAATACTCAGTTTTCCTCCGCTACTCGGCAATGCGAAGACCACATGTGGGGATCAGGCTACGCCAAAAGATCATGGATCTCGATCAGAGAATGCGACTGTGCCCAGCTCATTAAACAAGTTAGCGGCCTCTAATTATCACCTCCTTTGGTCCCTATCGCATCCTCTAGAGCAAAAATTGCGAAAACGACGACTACTCGAAAATGAGGTCCACCTCTTCTTTTTGTCATAGCTGCCGTAGTTCTATGAGAATGGAAATGGGAAGCTGTGCAAAAGGTGGGCGCTAGTCCTAGTCACTAATGGCGATTACCTTGTAGATTGGAGATGCCTTTTAGTGAAGGAAAATTTTTCCGAAAATTCGGTCAGTGTTGCATTACTTTTCGTCCAACCTGATACTTATTTTGTGCAAACTTCGAGAGTGGACTCATACAAGCGTCTGGAAATGCCCCGCTTTCGAAAAGCCCATCATGGAAAAACTAGCAAATTCTGTTGCAACATTGTGTTATCTTTCGCTGTGGCGCAGTGCCCTTCGAGAGATACGGTAGCAGTGACAGCTTTGGTAAAACCCGCCAACCTCTTGTGGATTTTGTGTTTTACCGAATTGAAAATACACTTCAACTGTATTCAGGTTGTATTCAACTATTTCAGGTGAGCCTCGCATACGCTTACGAGACAAAAGATGCTCTTTGCCTTGTGTTGACGCTTATGAATGGAGGTAATTCGAAAGGACACGCATCTACTTTGCTTGTCTTCCTCTTTGCTGACAATGTGCTTCTCATTACTTTGGCTATTTGTTTTAATTCTAGGTGATCTTAAATTTCATCTGTACAATTTGATGCCCGGAGGGTTCGACGAAAAACGCGTTCAGTTCTATGCTGCCGAGATCACTCTAGGACTTCAACATTTGCACAAAGAGCGGATTTTATACCGTGATCTCAAGCCTGAAAATATTTTGCTAGACGATTTCGGTAAGTTTTCCGTTTGCGACCGTAAGGGCGATCTCATGCAGTTATTAACAGTGAGGTCACTCACAAGCCTATACAAATTTTCGAACTTCTTTTGAGAGAACTTACAAGTGCCTTTGGATAGGAGAAACTGCAATTTGCTCTCATGATTCACCTCATCTAAGCACTCGGCGTACTACCAGTCATCATGACTGACAACCCCATGACAATGCACTATGAGCAGCATGACTTCAAATTACCTACCGATTTCCAGCATTTGAAAAAGAGTAAGTGTGCGAATGTGACAGTGCACAATGCGACGGTGCCCTGCATAACACGAAAGTTCCTACAAGTCCTCACAAAGGAAGGTCAGAAGGTTGCGAGTACGGGGTCTTCTTCACAGTTTTCGTTCCCCTTTTGAAGCACAGCACTTCGTTGATTAGACTCCTTAGATTCCTTGACACTCTCACTTTTTATGAACATCTGCTGTTACTTCAAAAATTATCTCTCCTTCGTTACACCGTTGGTATTCCTCTATTTGACACCAGGTAGAAACAAAGTCTGGCACGGAACTTCTTTAATTGTGCCGTTTTTGAAACTTCTATTACAGATACTCCATAACTACTCGTGGAGGATCTCTGCAAATTCCCACGGATAGTTATGACTTCAGCATCTGCGGTGCACACATAAATGAACACCACAGATAATCGAATAGACCTGTTGCCCTTTCCTGCTCGGACTTTTATGGTTTTGAAGTACTCGGATCAAGCCATGTTTTTCGATCGTTCTCGGGTTTGCTAAATGTGGTGGAACTATGCGCAGGTGAATGCTTGAAAAGTGTAAGCCATGTGGCATCTACAGTTTTTTGGTTCCACCCACTTGAAGCTCAAAAAATTCAAATATCACGGTGCTTTGTTGTTCTGCCATTCACTTTATTTGTTTATTCAGCGTGCGAAACAGTTCCCATCGATGATTTTATAAACTAGGGCTTTGATGTTGAGCATTGAACTGTCCCGGAGCCTATCACGGATTGCCCAGGATTTATTTGAATGTTCAAAAACGAGAAAAAGCTCCAAAATATTCATTCCAAAGAGTAAATCAGAAAGTGTTCATATGTATGTGAAGACTGGTAAAGTCCCAACCGGAGTGACGTCGGTGGTTCAGTTGCGTCGTCTTCCGCTCGTGCACCCGCTTCTAAGCTGTGCCGGAATCCTCTTGTTGGCTTCAGGCTACTCCGATACAGACGACAGAATAGGATCTCGTCCAAACTGTCTTCGTCTTCTTCCACAGAACTTCTTTCCATCCTTCTGCCATGCTTCTACCGTACGCTGAAGAGCTGAATACTGGCATTGGGAATTAACAGGGAGTATTTTCAGACCGAACCATCCCACAATGTAATACACTTGACTGAAATGTTTAATATGTTCAGCTGGTGTCGTAGCCATATATCCAGGATTGCCATAACGGGAAAAGACAGTGACTTATATGACTACTATGAAATTTAAGATTGCCGTGTTTTGCATGCGATAGTCTCTGCTCAGGAGATCTTACAGAGAATACTGTACTACCTTAAACTGTGATAAAGCACGACCCATCCTAACTGATAACTGAACTGATTTGCAAATACCTCGTTACGTTGAGATGATTCTAATTCATTTTTCTAATTCCATGCGGCAGTACGTTCGCATAAAAAGAAACAAGGAATTTCGAATCAACCAAGCAGCAGGATAGAACATCGATTTACGTAAAATCACTCTGAATACACTCATCAACACGTTTCTTGAAAGTGGCATAATTTGAATTTATATATATATATATATATAATATATTATATAATATATATATATTATATATATATAATATATATATATTATATAAATATATAATATATATTATATAAATATATATATATTATAATATATATATAATATATATATATATATATATATATATATATATATCCAGTGGAGTTGGCGGTTTCCCCCTCAGTTTTCAAGGGAGAAAAGGGCTTGTTAAATGGCTAGCCTAGCCGGAGGAGGAAACTTTTTTGCCGGTAGCAGAGGATGAATTGAAGTGGAAACATGTGTCTGCCCCAATTGTCAAGTTATAGTTATGTAAATAGATAAGCATATAGATAAACAGACAGGTAAGTACTTAATTGGAAATTTTCGATTTTGGCCCGTATCCGTCCAGGCACACATCCTGTTATTTGCTAGTATGCCCGTTATGAAATTATGAACTTTTCATGCAAGCACCACCCTTTCGGTGCACATCTCACTCACCACATATGTCTCTCATTTCTGGAAAACGTATTTCGCGTAGCGCACCACATCCATTTTTAGCAACTCTTTACTATCTTTGCCTCGACAACATGGTACAAGGGTTGTGTCTGATATAGACGTTCATTGCGGAGAGTTTAGGTCTTACTGACTGATTGCACAGTCGATCGAACAATTATAAGGCTATTTGCAGACGGCACCGTTCGCTTCGATCCTTCTAGTAACTGTTCATATTTTTCCGGACTGGACATAGTAAGGACGGCCACGTTTCAGCTTGACGAGCTCTTTCAGGAGTGTTTTAATATCTTTGAGCTGTTTTCGGGAATATTTGTAGTCGGCTCAAATTGTTCCATACGGATTAACCGCTTCACGGTCGCCAGTTTTCATTTTTGACACAGATGCAAAAATCACTTATCTAGCTCCTTTGTTTTCCCGCTATCTTTTTCAAGTTCCTACCTCTAACTCCGAAGAAGTGGTATCCTGTTGAACACACCGCACAATGATTCAGTGAACCCTCACCTATAGTGGACTGGTCGCCGACATAGTTCGTCACTCCAACATTTCACGCGGCGTCTTCATTTTTTGCATAGTGAGACTTACTGACTTGAAGATGGACCCCAGTCTGTCCTCTCTGTCACTTTCACTGCTCTGTTGCTCCAGAGAATTTTAATGGAAATGCGGGCAATCTCACGCGGACTTATGGAAAATATCAGCTGAACTGAACGCCTCTGCTATGCATGGAAGTTGTTCCTGACCAGCTGCAGCAGTTTCCCTGCAAGATTGGGAAAGCGTCTCGACGAGCAGAAGAGAGAGAATGAATAAGTGTTGCACCCTTCCGTCGCACCTCACTACCCATATTGCAGACAAAAGTTAGTTTACGAAGAAGGGATGTTTAAATGTCACAAAGATAGAAGTTTACGTCTCAGACTGCTAGGGTGTTCATTGAAAGGGGTCACGAAACTGATGAGAACAGTTGAATCCATTCTTGCTCAGTGCTGGATGCTTTCGGCTGAAATGGGTGCTATTTGGATAACACCGCTTTTTGGTCGAGTGAACCATTAAAATCGGCTCTAGTATGTGGATGAAAGATCAATTCGAGAACGCTGTTTGAATCAGTATATGATCGATTCCTCGTAATCTTCGCGTGGATGGTCAGTCTGAATAAGTTTAATAGTCTGTCTTAGATTGTTACACTTTACCCGACTTCGGCTAAAGATAGACCCCACAATCAAGTAATTCGTGGTCTTCCTCCCTTGTGCGAGAAGACCAGCCGAGACCGTCACATCGCGATTCCTCAGCAGGTGTGGAGGGCGCTACAGCCACCGGAATTCTAATTCTAACATCGCTCCGTTGGACCGCTCACCCAAAGAATGTCCCCTCCAGGCATAATGCAGGGGCGCTCAGTTGTTGTTTTCTGGCGCGACGGGCATAAATCGTAATCGTAATCGTTCCATTTTTGCCGACCGCGCTCGTGCTAATTGTTAACTTTGCCCTTCTTCATAACACTTTCTTCATAAGGAGTACATGCAGTCAAAAGCAACTCATCTTGCAAGGTGGAGCTTGTTCAAATCACCAGTGATGCAGTTTTTGGTGCAAAAGCTCGACGTGTATTGCTATCGTAATCCTAAATTCATGCGCAGGGTTTCCAAAAGTTTTTTCTCTTACTAATTCTGCCCCAGTGTTTTATTTTTTTTCGTTTCTTTTCTTTGCATTGGATGATATTTACTACCACGAGATGCAAAAAAGCGATTTGTGAGCTAGGAGTTGCACAGAGACCGCACGATGGTGTGACTATCAAGGAGCGATTTTGTTTATAGTGTTTCTAGATAATCTCTTCGCTTTTTTCTTTTCTGGGAAACCTCGTAGTTCAACAGCAAATATCCAGAACACTCAATTACGAGGACTGTATTCAAGTTCCGGCTTTTTCGCATTCTTCAAAGCCTAAAAAGACCGATGAAGGCGAAATACCGATTGATATTCAACGTGTCAAGCAGAGATGGAACTATAGACGATATGCATCGATAATGGTGGACCACAAACAGGTCAATTTTCAAACTGATAGTGCCGCGGAGATTACAATCGTCAGTGAGTCGACATGGAAACCTGCGGGCTAAGCTGACCTCCACCAAAGCCATCGCCGCTCACTGCTTATAAAAGGATAAAGGATAAAGTCTTCGATGTTGATCAATCCCTTCGTGGGATGCGGCACGCATTCTACTTCCTTTCGTAGTGGCTTATTGAATGCGATGTGGCCTATACAATGACTTGCGGTGGCCACCCGATGTACAAGTCAATGTTTTATCCTCCCAGACGAATCTGGTACCAATTTACCGTTCCCGGAGGGTAGAAGGCTTGATCGGCCTGGGCGGGAGTCGACCCGGGATTTGAACCCGACGCCGCGCGAGTGGTAAGCGCGCCACTTGTCACTACACCACCTCCGCCTCCTCACTGCTCATAGTGCAGAAAAAAAAATGGCATTTTCCCGTGCGACCTGGAGGTCGACCCCACATTCGAAGCTTGGTATCAACTGCATGAGGATATCTTTAGAGTGGACGTCCAGATGCTCAGTGAGCCAACTGGACCACAGGAATCATTATTCAGCCGTCGCTACGCTTGAATGGAGTTAGCTTAGGATTCCAGCGAAGATTCCATTCAAGAGGAGATTGCGAAGACTCGTACCTATGCTGGACGAGTCAGTCATAATATGCCACGTTCGAGGTATCGAGGTGCGACGACAAACAGTTCAAAAGCCTGAACTTCGGAAGCGTATTACAAACAAGCGAGGGCCCATTCATGTTACTCAAGCTGTCGGATAAAATCGAGGCCAACCCGAAGCGCACTGTATAGGGAGCAATTCTCCCTTTTGTCGTAAGCCGCGCAAGGGCGTTTAATCGATTGAAGCAGGTGCTCCTGGCAATCTGTGGGGCCACATTCAACCGCAGTGCTTTTGACGATCCATCCTTGACCATTTTTGTATCCCGCTTAAGAATCGTGAGCCGCTTGCATTCCTATTTTAGCGACTGGACTGCGCACTTTGAATCGGCATCGATTTCATCCAACAGCTTGAGTAGCATGAATGGGGTCCTCGCCTGGATGTAATCAGCTTTCGAAGTTCATGCACTTGAACTGGTTGTTGTCGCACATGGACTCGAACGTGGCACTCCCACGGTTGACTTGTCCAGCGTAGGTGACGAGCCTGCACAATCTTCTCTTGAACAAAACCTCAATTCAATCCTATGCTAGCTCCATTCTGACAAGTCTGCGCAATCTTCTCTTGAATGGGATCCTCGCTTAGATCCCCAGCTCCATTCAAGCGTAGCGACGGCTGAATAGTGACTCCTGTGGTCCAAGCAGATTCGTGAGTGTCGAACAGCTTCATCGTATGTGACGTCTCGTGAAATATTCGGCAAAATATGACCTGAATATTTCCCTTATGCAGTAGCGTCCAATTTGTGCAAAAGAAGTCGAACGCGAGTTGCCTATTCGAGCGTCCGGACGTCTACTCTTAAGATATCTCCATACCCATGGTAACAGACTTCGAACGTGAGATCGACCTCGGAAAATTGCGCTTTCCGTCCTGCCAACACGTGGAAGATATTCGTTGCTTCCGCCATACTGGTGACGGTTGCTGCTGCGGTTGCTGTTGTGCAGTTCCTTTGACAGCACATTGAATGCCATAAGAACTGCTGGAACTACTTGTCTGTCATCACATCCATTGTGCTTACCACCCTCATGGACACTGTCGTGTCAAGGAGCAGTCAACTTTATTCAGAACAACGGGTTTATATACTCATTTACGACCACTGACTGGGCTCAAAAAATCCATGCTGTATGGGAGGTTGCGACCCCATTTGTGGTTATGATAGGTCAGTAGATTGTTTTTGTATCTAACAGTGGCAATAACTTCCTGCTACAATACTCCATAATTTCACCCTGTTTTGGAAGGGTATAAGGGATCATACCCACTTCAGACACCGAACCGTAACCATGACATTCTTCTTGTGCATTTTCTGTTTTTGCCGACGCCATCGCGCTTCTTCTCGGTGCAACCAGTGGCCGGATTGCCGCCCATGAGAGATCCAGCATTCTCATTGCGACGAAGATGGGCCGATGACGGCGATTCTTTTGTCTCTCGGTCAATTTATGCCGAACACAATTGCCGAGCTTCTTGGTCTTCCCGATTTTCTGCTAATGGTGAACAGCTGTTGTGTGATCGAGGTCGAGCTCATCGGCAATATCGCACGTGGATCAGCTTAGACTATCATTTTCAAGTATCGTCACTGGGAGTGGGTGGACGGCTGCCATTTGGGGGTAGTCTGAGACGAAATTTCGTTTTGTACCGAGTCGTTTGATCTGTTCAACGCGAATATTTCCGCTACACGCGGAAACGACTAGAGCACGCGCACGCGCCAGCCCTTCGCGTACACTGCACTCTATGGGAAAGTAGAATATATATTCGTTTCCATAGATATTTTGATATTTTGTGCGCTTTGTATACTTCAACAAAAGCTTTGTTCAGCGTCTAAGCAAATGGACAAAGGAAAGGTTCAACAGGATCTTGCGAAATGACATGATCAGAATCGATATACACATTTTGCTCTATTTGATAATGCATTTTGCTGTCCTCTTCTATGCAAAAGCGAAATGTGGTTGATTGAAGATCCTGCAAGTTTTTTCGGGACAGCTGCTTTATCAAAAGTTTGCTGAGGTGAATCAGTTTCTGTAAAAAAACTGTTGCCTGCAAAAAGCAACAAAAAATATATCAAGCAGCGGTCATCTGCAGAAGTAACCAGATTATGTTGCTCATAGTCAGAAAAGTTGTCAATGAATTTTTTTTCTATTGAAGGCCACGTTCGGATTTCCGATCTGGGTCTAGCCGTTGAACTCAAGAACAATGAGCCAATTAGAGGAAGAGTAGGAACTGTAGGCTACATGGGTGAGGATACCCTTGATTCTTGTTGTTTTTCTCACCACATGCTTGTTGCCAGTATATGAATTTTAAGCGCCTGAAATTGTAAAGAATGAACGGTATTCGTATGGTGTGGATTGGTGGGGTCTTGGATGCCTCATCTACGAAATGGTCGAAGGGAAGGTATACTTTTAAATGCTTTTCCTGTATTCATCGTTGTTCTTTCCAACTTATCGTTCGTGAACTAGTGCTCACCAGCTGACAATAGGCAGCACAAAGCAATGCTGTTAGTTGAGCAACATCCAACAGTGGCTGTGCTGCAATGTACAGGGGGGAGGGCAAAAAAAAGACTTTTCTTCCTCGACTTTCGAGGCGCTATAAGTTACATTTTATTAAATTATTATCGTACATTTCTACCACCATATTAAAGAGCATATCAAATACTACCATGACACTCCGCCACAGCCTTCTGGAAGAGCGCCATCGAGAGATTCTGCCACGCAACCGTGAGTGGGTGCCTGAGTTCAGCGAAATTGATTTCTCCGCCTCTCTAGACCGTCCTGTTGAGCTCCGCCCGAGCCAGGTAATTGAAGGGGTTAGGTCAGGTTACCTGCTTAGATATCCCACCTTCTTCAGGTACTCAAGCGCCCTTCCATTACAAGTAGGCAGAGTTTCTTCAACGCTTGGATTTCATGTGGTGGCATTGAATGCTGTAGCAGTACAAAGTTTCCAAGAAGGTACGGGCGAACACATGTGAGGAGGATATTCTTCACGAATTGCCCGATGGAACCGCCAGCGCTCGCCTTTAGTCCGGGGCCCACGAAGAAAATATCGGTCTCTCCATTCCAGGTACGTCCGGTCCCCACCATCAACTGGCGCCTTGGCGACTGAGGTGAAGATGATGTCCTAGAACGTAGCGACGTTGACGGAGCTGCTCGATGATGGAGGTATTTACCAGATCGAGAGTACTGCTCTCCAGGTAGCTATTTATGGGTGAATTCATACTAGAAGTTTCGTAGCTGTTCGAAGGTGACATGAATTCCAAAGGTCTTCTCCAGTCAGGTTAGGCTGGAGATGACTTCATGTTTTGGCGTACATGAAGGTGATGGGCGAGAGCCAGCTCCTGCTTGTAGAGGAACATCTTGGTATCCTCCGCCCCGGTACTCGTATGCACGTCCTCCATCTGGGCTGCGAAAACTTTGCTGATATGTGACTCGGTCGAAATGTCTTTTTTTTTGCCCCCCCCCCCTCCCTGGTATATTTTGACGCTCACGTTTGTATTATTTTTTTGGAATGAAGGAAACCTGTTCCTTTTCTTTGTCCTTGTGCGCACCTTGGTGGAGAGAAATCGTTAGAATATCGTAATATTCAGAGTGAGGATCTTCACGGATCGGGAAATGTTCTTTGTCTTTCATGTGTACTGATTTAATTTGAAGCGGTTTGCGCTTTGCTGTTACTTTGGTTAAAGATCTGTTACGACCTCATCGTTTCATGAACGTCCTTCTGCAGTAGTGCCTCACTGTATCGAATGCTCATTTGCTGCTGAAACCTTAGCAGGGCATTTTCTATAATCCTGTCCGGTTTCCTTCACTATAGCCCAGTTGACATCTACGCTTTGATATTCGAATCCCGCTGCTCAGCAAACAGTGTGTGATCCAAGGCAGTAAACATAGCGAAAAATAATAACAAGCTAGGAAAGAGCCTCTGAATCGTTGTGATTTATTTATTCTACTTTGAACCAACAAATCTTTACCCTAGGAACGCCATGTTTGAGAAGGCTGCCGATGGAAGTGGAGGGTTTGTATGGACAGACACCTGATCTCCAACAGCCATCAGTTTACGCCATGCGACGTATCCGTGCTGCCATCATTCAATCCCGGCTCAGACCACGCCCGATCAGTGCCAACACATGTCTTGAGAAGTAAACATCCAAGCGTGACAAGCACAGCACCGCGCCCTCTAGGATTCCTGTTTCCAATAGTGAGCAACTGCATCCTGCTTTTGAAGCTTATCACCTGAATCTGCTGGTGGAGTCATTGAAAAACTACAAATATCTCGTTGAGGGTTTGTTCAAGTGCGCAGACGCGTCACGTTTTTTAGGGTCAGCTTTTACTTGTAGGCTCAGCGCTCTTGCAACTGCATTGTCAGAGAAATGGACAGCTGTGAAGATGGATCTTAATGATCCTCACCTGGAAAAGTCACTCCCTGCAGAACTGCTTCTCGGTTGCCACAGAATAACGTCGAGCCTATAGAACTGAATTGTTGGCAGCGGTTGAAACAAGATCGGGCATCAAATGCTGTGATCGATATCTTAGCGATCAGAAATCCGTCAGTTCTGCATTCGGACAAAAGTGGAAAGACGCTAGTACCTAGAAGACCTAAAGAGATCATCGTTAGTGACTTACAGTGCTTCCCGCTCTTCCACAACAGTTATCAGGTGCTCCTTACCGTCTCCCAGATACCATCCTGCAGTGCTGAAATAAGAAGTCGCGAATGCGACTATTTTAGATAAGGAGGGATTCCAGAACAACAGAAGTCAAAAACTGTTCCAATGTTAAAGAAAGGCAGAGGGAGAAGATTAATGACTGCCGGCTTATCAGCTTACTCCCGATAATATGTAAGCCGTTCACAAAAGAAAAAAAACTATTTTACCGTTGAATGACCATGGGTCAGAGGAGCACGCCGGCTTATCGATATGGATAACAGTGGATTGGTAACAAGCAGAATGATAGCTCTGCTCACGGAGACCGGTCGTGGACACCATTTTCCTCTAGTAGACTGGTGAAAGGTTTTGGCTCAGTGGAGATTCTGAGTGCTCTAGCGCAAGCTGGAGTTTCCTTTGCCCACGTGTGCCTGCTTGAACAGGCTTTTGAAACCCACTCACAACAATTCAGCTCTTAGAGCTCATGTGGAAGGACTTCCTGAGAAAGAAGTATGGCACGGAGACACGGTATACAGGAAGTTATTCAGAGCTGTACGCGATGTCGGACCTAAATTGGGACGACAACGGATATGGATGAGAAAAGAATTACCAATTTTCGCTTCGCCGACGATATCGTCTCGATATTTAGCAATACAGCTGAAATGGAAGAGCTGGCAATGAATCCGACATGGCTGATCAGAAGTTTGGTTTGGAGGACATGTCCAAAGTGGTGAACAAGGTGTGTGAAGCAGGGACAGTGACACTGGCAGGAAGAGCTTGAAGCAGCGGATTCCTGCGTACTCCTTGAAAGAGCGCAGCATGGGCTTGGATCGATTAATGAATTGACGGAGTAGATCAAAAATTTTCTCCTTGAAGCTTCAGCATTTAGCGCCACAGCACTCCCAGCAATGTGCGGTGCGACTGAAACCTGAAACCTGGCCTGAAAACGGGACAGTCGCTAACGTCATGCAAACAGATATTGTGCACGGGGATGTGTATTTTGAAGATACGCCGGCATCAGCAGGAGCATTAACGCTTACGGATTTCAGAACTGAAGGAGCATTCGCGTTAAGGAACCTGCTGTAGTTTGTGGTGCATTGCAGACGATCCGAGATAAGATGACAAGTGACAGATGATGCCTACGCGTCACATGTGGCCACCAATAAACATAAAAAGGTGCGGAACGACCGCTGGCGCGCTGGTACAACTGTTTATCAGGAAATGCTGTGTGCCACACCGGATGCAAGTCGTCAGAAGGTGACGGAAGGTTCCCAGCACGAATTTTTATCAGCTGAAAGACCATCAAAGTATCAAAATGAGTTGTGCAGTAAGGCAGAGGTGGTAATGTGTCAGGCGGCGCCGTTTACCTCAGGCAGATTTTGGGGGTCAAATCCCGGCTCGACTCCTGCTCTTGCCAAGCAATTTTCCATTGGTCTAGGATCGGTTATTTGGTACTAGACATTTGGGAGTATAAATAGCACTGACCTGTACTAGCCCCTACAAGTATTGCATGGGCCGTCGCTTAAAAAGCCTATACGATTCCGCGAGGGTTGTCCCGTAATTCCTATCCGATTTCCGTTCACATCCAAATTTTTCTGTTTCATGTTGGGTTATCGCTGAGCACCTGCGATCTATTAAAGAGCAGAGTAGGGAATTTACATAGGAGTTTTGAAAACAGATCTCTGCTTGCAGATTCACGAGCTAAGAGAAGATCAGCACCACATAGCATGAATTGTGGTTGGTTTACAAATATTATCTGAGGCCAGTGCAAGAGAGACAGGTAAATAGATTAGCGGTGCATTGGGGCCAAGCATTGCTGCTAATCGGACGTTGAAACCACAGTCCAACTGCTTCGGTAGTATATGCCGAGGAATTCGACTCACTTCTCACTTTGGTTGCACCGTCAAGCTGGATGGGAGATTACTACTCCATAAGTTGCGACTGCTTCCGGCTACTGCTACGGGATTTTTCAAGCAGACATATGGACACGACAGAAACAAGGCCGCTTATCATACGAGTGGGCAACAAAGCCACCGCAAACTGACAACTGCACGGACACTACATGTATTTACTGAACTTGTCCAATCGGCACCCTTCACTAATCGCAAAAGACATCTTGTCTGACATGGGCATGGACAAGGCTTCCTCATTTGTCATCGCTGAAGATGAGAGCTGGGCTATGCCGTTCTGGAAAAGCTCTGGCACAAGCAGGGCTTAATGCCGATACCTTCATGGGGCACCTCTGGGGAAAGCAAATCTGCAACAGTGTCGAAAATTGGATAAGAGTTTAGGACAATCTAATAAATGGAGTGGAACGCGGGGTGAATCGCAGGAAAGAGAATGTTTGGAATTCCTATGGAATTTTATTTGCCCCAAATATATCGACAGGAAAACGCTAATTACAAAAATGGAAGTCAAAATTGCCACCTGAGTCCTGCAAGGGAGCCATAGCGGTCAAAATTTGCGGGCATGCAGTGCTCTGATGGTGCAAGAGCAACAGCAAATTCACTTTCCTAATTTTTTTTGAAATTTGTCTTGGAGGGGTGTGTGACCTTGTGAACACGAAGATCGTAACGTTCCGAGTCTCCAATGAATACTGGCGACTTCGAGCGTTTACACCTCGCGTGACAGATCCAGGTACAGTATCGCTCTCTAAATTTTGACCATTTTCATACTACTTCGATACATGTTGTTACGTACTTATTCGAGGCGCAGTTAAATGTTGAAACCATCTCATGATGTTTTTTTTTGTTTCCGATGAAGACGCTTTCCG